TTGCTAGCAAAATATCATCAATAAGAAAAATAAATTTGTTCTCACTGACCTTAAGATATCTGCATTGATTCATCTTGTTCTCAACAAAATCAAGAAAACTAACTATCTCATTAAATTTCAAGTACCAATGACGAGAAGTCCATTTGAGACCATAGATATACTTCTCCAACTTGCACACTAATTGTTCTTTCTTATTCTCCTTAAGACCCTCAAGCTGTATCATATTCTTCCCTAAGCTCACAATTCAAAAAATTTGTCTTCACATCAGTTTGGTGAAATTCTAGATTAAAATGAGTCACTAATGTCATAATGATTCGAAAAGAATCTTTAGTAGAAACAGGTGAAAAAATTTCATTAAAATCTATATCTTTCAATCTTATATTTGGACTCCACCTTAGTTTTAAACACTCATTTACAGTCAATGAGTTTACATCCCTCAAGAAGTTCTATAAGCTCTCACACTTCATTGTATGTCATAGAATGTATCTCATATTTCATAACACCTACCTACATATCAGACTGAGGACAAGTAATAGCATCATAGTATGTTATAGGATCAATAATATCACTAATATCATAATCACTTTCTCCAAGGCATACATAATATTCATTAGAAATAATAGGAATCTTTGGCCTTGTAGACATTCTCAAGAAAATTTTAGTAGTAAGCTCTAAAGGCTGAGGAGCCTCAATAGGAACAGAAGGGTCAATTGCAAGAATAGGAGGATCAACAACTGGAGCAGAAAAATTAACAACAGAAGCATGTATAATATTCTCTTGCACAACAGGTAAATGAATAGAAACAAATTTATTTTGCTCATACTCACTAATAGGCTGTGAGCAACCAACATCAGCAACATCAAGCTCCAAAAATTTTGTTATTAAAGACTTCACAATTTTAGTACCATGTGTAGGACAATAAAACCGGTATCCTTTCAAATGTTTTGTGTAACCTATGAAAAAATAACGAATAGTTCTAGTATCAGTCTTTTTCTCAAAAAAGTTATAGATTTTGACTTAAGTAGGACAACCTCAGACTCGAAAATGGTTAAGACTTGGTTTCTTATTGGTCCATATTTCAAAATATATTTTTGGAACAGATTTGCTAGAAACTGTATTAAGAATGTATAAAACTGTTTTAATGGTTTATTCCCAAAGAAAATCAGGTAAGTTATACCTACTCATCATACTCCTCATCATATTAGACACATCATTCTACTCAGTATTACAAGACATGATATATTAGACAATAATCTCACAATTTTGTAAATACTTGGCAAACGGTCTCAAATGCTGCTCAGACACATCATGTTTGTCATAATACTCACCACCATGATTAGATTAACAATTTTGATGATTTTTCCTAATTGTTTCTCTATCTCAATTTAGAAAATTTTAAACTTTTCAAGAACATCAGATTTTTCATTAATTAAATAAATATATCCATAACGAGAGAAATCTTCGATAAATGTAATAAAATATTTATTACCACACAAGGTACGTGAGTAAGGTCCACTAATGTCAATGTGAATGATTTCTAAAAGATCTAGACTGAGTTGTATTTTTCTTCTTAGTCTTGGTCAATTTACCCCTAATGAAGTTAATACAAGTTTCAAGGTCTCCAAAATCAATGGGAGGAAGAATATTATTCTTTATTATTCTTTCCACTCTTTTTTCTAGAAATGTGATCCAAATGTTTATGTCATAGCTGTGAATATTTTTTTTTAACGAGAGATCTTTTAAATATAATATTCACAATATTTGAAAGACCATATTTATTATTGACAGTCAAACATATACTATATAGATCATTTAATAAAACATAATGACCAACAATTTTAGAATTTAAAGATAATTGAGTTTTACCATTACTAAAATTAAAACAATATCTATTTTTATCAATCAAGGAAACTGAAATCAAATTATGCCTAAATGATTGTACATAAAAAGTATTTTCTAAAACAAGTTGAAAACTAATGTCTAAATTCAACCTAACAGTTCCTATGAACTCAACATGGACTTCATTATTATCTCCTACTTTAAGCTTGACTTTCGTTTGCTTGTAAATCCCTGCAAAATCATGACAACATAAATAGAAGCCCTATTATCAATCCATCAACAATTTAATGGGACATTAACTAAATTGGATTCAAAGCAAACAAAGGCTAGTGAATTACTTTCTTCTTTATTCTTCTTCTTTAACCAAGACTTGAATCTAGTGCACTTACTTTTCTTTTGACCTCTTTTCTTGTAAAAGTAACACTTGACATCTTTTCGAATGACATTCTTAGGGCCTCCCACATTCTGACCAGTATTTCGACCATTCTTTGAAGTATTATGATAGGTTTTCTAATTTTTTCCTGATACCCCCACCTTTGAAACTAGACATAAGCTGGGAAACAAACAAGACATTTTTACTATTTTCTATTCTAAGTTTTTCTTCCTTGAAATTACATTTGGAGATATGGTCATTTATTGTTCAAGACTCATTTTGGGTATTGTATGTAGTTTTAATTTGACTAAACTCAGGAGACAAAGAGTTAAGAGTGTGATGAACAATGAAATTATCAGGAATACAATTTTTGAAAGCTTTGAGTTTGGTTTGAACATGGACCAATCTAAGGATATATTCCCTAACACTACTCACATTGTCATATTTCATACTCGTTAATTCATATATTAGGCTCCCAGTTTCAGTCTTATTGGATACCTTATATCTCTCTCCTACAATGGTAAAGAACTCCTTAGCATTCTTGGTTTCAGGCAAGCTACTCATAAAGTGTTTAGAGATAGATTTTTTTATGACAATCATACTCAATCGATTAAATTTCTCTTACTTTGCATAAAGTCATTTTTCTTCAAGGGAGCTCTCACTAGTAGGTTTATTTTCTTTCAAGGCAAAATCTATATCAACAATTTCCAGGGCAAACTCAATATCTTCCTTCCATCTCTTATAATTAGAACCAGTCAAAACTTCAATGTTGACATTATTATTATTTACAGCAAAAGAAATTGTTCAAAATAACAAAAATATAAACAGTTAGTAAAATTGGGCAATTAGTAAATAAAATATGATTTGAACTTAATAAGTTATATTTTATTAAGAGAGTCCAAATACATCACTACAAACTCTCGTTTGGGCAAAAAATGTAATATGTTATAGGTTATATTTTTCATGAAACTAACCAATGAAAATACTCAAATTTCAAAAAATTTATTCCCTTTGGGCAGATAAACATTTTAGACTATTGCACCTCTACTACACTATTTCATGACATCTCCAAATTACAATACACAACAATCTCATTTGGGCAGGTAATTGTATATTATAATTTAGAGATCATCCCGTAACAAAAACATAAGAAAAATCTACAAATTTCAATGAATTGATCACTTTGGTGGCAACCATCCATCTTAACTCATAGAATTTTTCAAATCGGGATATTATAATAAATTGCTCATAATTAAATATCGTGTGATCAATCAATATGAGGTATGAACCAATATGTATCTTTTTAGATCACTCATCATCAATCGTTGCATTCAGGTCTCAATTCTATTTTTACTATTAAAAATAAGTAATTTAAATTCAAATCTACGAACATTTAATAAATAATATATAGATCATAAAAAAAAAATATCATCGTATAAATCATTAGGCACTAAATTAGAATTGTACAAACACCATCTATAAATTATAGTAATTCAATCAAAGTTACATCAAGATAAAAAAATAATTTGTATGAGTAAAGTCTACATATATTCATCAACATGACCCCATATTATTAATACGAATCATTTACAAGAAGAGAATATATATTAATCATAAAAGTTTTAAAGAAATGCTTCCTGAACTTAAAAAATATATTTAAAAACTAGAATTGATAATTATAACAATTGACTTCACTGTGGATCTCAATCAATGTTGGGACCCACTACTTATTCAATGGTTGTGATTATCAAGTCTAATTTTTAAGTTCATGTAACATTACTCAAAGTTTTAAAATATATATAAATTATCTTTGATAACAAGCATCTCAAATTTAATCTTAAAAAAAAACAGTAGTATTATGATGCCACCTTTCTCCTTTTTTCTTTTTTTTGAAGGTCATATATACACGTCATATGGATATATGATGTGATTGTCTTTTCTTGAGTTTGATGTAACCAATTCTCGATAATTATTTATCATCGACTATTTTATGGTAATTTTTATTCAATGCATCTTGAACGGTGACACAAAAAATTGAACGCTAAGTCTGATAAAAATTAATAATTTAATTATACATAAATTTTATTGGGTTTCAAATTCATATACAATAAACTCTGATATCTCATGTAAGAAATTTTAATGATTCGTATATGAAATTTAAAACACTTAAATTACAAGATTTAAATTATATAGATTTGAAACATACCTATATAAATTATGATACTCAATCTCTGAATTTCACAAAGTCTTTCTTTTCTTTTTGAAAGCAGTAGGCGGCTCTTAATGAGATAAGTCAAATTAGGGACATGAAGTGAAGAGGAAACTTAGCTTGCTATTTATAATGAATCTAATAGGCTCTCTCATTATAAACCACAATTAGATTAAAGTCTACACTTAACCGCCTCAACCACATCAATTAAAAAGTTATAAATAAGCTCATTAAAATATTGAGTTCATCTCATTGGACCCTAAATTCAACTCATTTTTCACCGATTAAAAATTAACTATTAATTAATAAAAATCTAATATAAAAAAATTTCATATACATCTATCTTAAAATCATTCATATTGGTACTATCTCTTCAAACACGATTTACCCTAATATTGATATAATGGAAACGTATCCACGAGAATTGAACCAAATCTTAAGAAGTAGTCATGCCTCCCTCGTGAGCACACACTCTTGGTTTTGTGATATCTTTTTAAGTACTTGTGCTGCGACACGATTATATTTTGCCCGTCCAGGCAATCCAGCTGTTCAACAACCTCTCTCTCTCTCTCTCTCTCTCTCTCTCTCTCTCTCTCTCTGTTGTTCTGTAATGGGTTTGGCAAAGAAAGCCATGGTTCTATTCTGGATGATGGCGGTTTGTGAGGTCTCGATGGGTAGTGTGTACAAGGTTGGCGACTCAGCTGGTTGGACCACCGTTGGCAACGTTGATTACAATAAGTGGGCTTCTACTAAGAACTTCCTTGTCGGAGACATAATCAGTAAGTTCATCTCCTTAATTCTGTTCACCTAATTACCTTTTTCACTTGGGTTTGCACTCTAACTGTTAGCTTTTGTGGATTTTTATGCGACTCTGTCGGCGTGTGCGTGTGTATTCATTATATTCCACTGGTTCCATGAGATCCTTCTGATTGCTTTAGATAAAGAACTCTGTGCTATTCTGCCATGTACTATCCTGGTTTCATGGCCATCTTTGCCTTTCCTACCTTCTTTTTCTCTTTCCGGTGACGGGAAATGTCCAGAAAAACTAAGGCTGGATTGGGAACTGTTTTAAATTTCGGAAACAATTTATAAGAAAAAAGTTGTTCGATTAGTTATTTTTTATTTTGAAGATTGAGAATAAAAATTTGATAAATTTAGAGATCAAATTAAAGTTATTTAATGTGTTTTTTAAATTTTTTCTAAAATTTAAAAAACATAACCACTGTCACCATCGCCATGTCCACCACACTCCCACTACCACCACGATGTCCACCACACTTCTGCCACCACCACAACGTCCCCACACCACCACCACCACCACCACATTTTCACCACCTTCATATTTTTGATTTTATTATTTTTTTTGGTTATTGTCCAAATAAATTTTACTATTTTTATTTCGTAAAACTGTTTTTAGAATCATATAATTCAACAAATTTTACGACACGAAAAAACACACTAAAAACAATTTTCTAAAACTTTTAAATACTGTTTTTAGATGCAAAATAAATAGGGCCTAACACATCAATATGCTTCTTGCCTTGACGTTTTCGTTTGTTTATTTTTCCCACATTTTGTTATTATAATTTCCAACTTCCATTGTTTTTATGACCCAAAACAAGGAAAAAAAAGCTTTCATTGTGGTTATTTTTAATTTCTCTTTTTTGGGCTTTCTTTAAAAAAAGTTTTGTAATTGTGGGATCTTAGTAAATGATATATCAATTTTAGAATTCAAGTGATAACAAGAACAAATAGTAAACTCAGACGTTCTACAAATTTTGATAATTCTTTGGGATCAAATCATGAAAATTTATCATTTATGAATAACTTAATTCTAGTATAAATGATTTATCTTTGACCGGTCAGCGAAGTGTAGAAACTAATCTAGGCACCATTAACCGTTTAATTTAAAAAAAAAAACTTTTTTTATGGCCCCAACCGATAATGTTTGAATTATAATAAAACATTATACTAGAATTGTTTGGAAAATTTGACTTCTGACGACTACCCTCATGACTATTGTCCTTTTCAAATCAACCAAGCCGGATAAAAACGAAGGGGATAACCTTGGTTTACGTAAAGGAAGCACGGTAGAAACATATCGAAGATTCCATGGAACTCGTGAACCAAATCTAATTGATGCCATCTGTATGTATTCGGTGCTTATGACATGCATACGTATGCCGGATAATTATCTCGAGTGGAAAGTTTTTATTTTGGGTGGAACGGGCTTCCGTGATTAAATTCTTAATTCATACTCTATTCGTTTCTATAAATAAATTTAAATATTGCACTCATATCTTACTCGTTCATTAGACGGATTATCCGACATAATTCTTGAATCACCCGTTAAATAAGAGAATTAATTAACATAGTTTAAGTCCACACAAAAAATCATCAACTCATCGTACATTACACAAGTTTGACTTATTTATTATAATAATAAATCATGGTAGAACAAAAAAGTAAAAATAAAAAATAAATATTAAATTACTCTAAGAGGCATGAGATGAGACAGAGATTGATAGACTTAATTTTTTTTTAAATTTATAGTCTCATTGTTAACGAGTTAAGTGGGTTGAAATGAGTTTATAGGTTAAATATAAAATCGATTCATTTATTTTATGAGTATACTAAGTTAACCCATTAACAATTTGAACCCGTTAAAATTACACCCAAATTTACTATATTTATTTCAGGTTTTTGTCGATTTTATAGAATTATCAAGCCTAAGTGTCTCGTTTGGGCGTGTCATTTCGTGTTTTTAAAGAGTAATGCATATCCGATACATTAGATTTCTAAATTAAATACTATGTTCTCCGCAGTTTTCGAGTATCACAAACAGTTCCACAACGTAATGCAAGTGAGCCGCTCAGACTTCCATTCATGTAATGCAACGGCTCCTATTGCCACCTATTCCACCGGCAATGACTCGATCACTATCAGGTGGCCCGGCCATTACTTCTTCATCTGCGGCTTTCCCGGCCACTGCCTTGCCGAACAGAAGGTTGATATTAGGGTTCTAAGAGCTTCTCACCCATCCGCAAGTCCAAGTGTAAGCCCCAGTGCAGCTCCTTATGAATCAGAGCCAGCGGCGTCACCGATTGGGCTGATAACACCAAACCCATCTGAAAATAGTGCTCCATCTCTCCTTTCTTCCAACTGGTCTCTTAGCAGCAAGTTTGGATTGTCCATTGTTATTGTTCTGGCATCTTATATTTCTGGTTTTGTTTATTAGCGCATAGGGTCTGTCATTTACGGGAGACTCTTTTTTTTTTGGTTCGTGAAAAGAAAGGAGGGTCGACCAGTAGATACATCTTGTTAATTTGTGGCTTTTTAATCTGGACATGACTAAGTGGGTATCAATGAATATATGTCAGGGTGATTTGGTCTGATGTAGTATATATCAACTTTGTGGTGGTTCTGTTTTTCTTAAGAACTACTGCACTGTTTAACTTAATCATCTAATCCAATTTGTTCATCTAGTGAATTGTTATTATAGAGTTGAGAGCAAACCTTATCTAATATTTGAACTTATCTTCAATTCAAAGGCAACAACGGCTTACGTATTATCATAAATGAAGTCAATACACGATAATTCTCAATTATATTCATAATTTTTAATTGTTTATTGCCATGTAGTGGAACTTTTGGTTCACTTTGATATTTGGTTTCTCGTGAGCTTGCATTATTCCACGCTTATAACCTTGCCCAACGTTTGCGTCTTTGCCCAATATACTCTGTCGTCTCTGTACGATAAATTGTCTAATCGATTGTGAAAGCGATAAAAAAGTCAAGCTGTATAAAGGCGAATAGCCTTTATAGCAATAACAAACGACCAAACTAAGTATTATTATAGATGATATCAATACATGATAATTCTCCGTTATATTTGTAACTTCGAATTTTTTATTGTCATGAAGTGGACCTTTTGGGTCGCTTTGATTTTTGGTTTCTCCTAAGCCTGCGTTGTTCCACGTTTATACAATTATAACTTGACCCAAAGTTTGCCATAGCTGCCGTTATGTGACATTGCTTTCTTAGTAATATTTGTGAATTATTGAATTAGTGAGTTTTATTTTATTAAATCTACATTCAATGATTTGGATTGCATTATGTCAATTGCCAAGACAAAATGGTTTTGATTGCACCATGTGAATTGGTAAGATAAAGTTTGTTAAAAAAATCTCTAACCATCATTATATTGAGAAAATAAGTGAGATATTTGACTATTTTTTTTTCCATCTCTCTTCTTTCGCATGGGTCAAAAAAAAAAAGGTAACCCCCGGCCCATTTCTTAGTCATTCTAACTTTGAGAGATAGTTTAAGTGGTAATATGGACGAACTATAATTTAAAAAATCTTAAATTCGAATTTTGATAATCTTTTGGACTATAAAAATTGAAGACCAAACATGAATGATCTGTTTTTAACTAGACTAAAAAATGGATTAATTGAAATACGGGTAAGCTGGTCCAGACACTCTAACCGTTGAAACAAAAAAAAGAAGGAAAAAAAAACAGAGAACATTTGACAAAAATGGCAAGTTTACAAATTGGTTTGATGAACGTTCAACATTGACTGTCTAGAACGCTCGTGTGGTCCTCCTCCACTAAATCTTGGTAAGAGAATCATTAAATCATGAATTAACGCAACTTCTATAAATCCAGCTGCAAGTATGGAATATCTCCACGATAATCTCGTCTTTCCAAATCCAATACTTGAGCACTGCTATATACTGCTTCGCAAGGCATCCGTTCTGTGTTTGTCTGTGGTTAATTCTGTGGGCTTGAGCCATGGGTTTGTGTGATAAAGTAGTTTTTGTCTTGATGACAATGGCGTTTTGTAGGGTGTCAATGGGTGAGGTTTACAAGGTTGGTGACACTGCTGGATGGACAAACATTAGCCATGTTGATTACAAGGCTTGGTCGGCTACCAAGAACTTCCATGTTGGCGACACCATCCGTGAGTCCTTCCTCTTCCAGCTTGTCAATTCATGATGATCACTAGATTATTCTTTTACCTTTGGTGAAAAAAAGTTGGTCGTTTTTTTTAATGTTTAGGCACTATTTTATTAATCTTAAAACCCATTTTATAGTTCAATCATTACAGTTGACAATGCAAAAATTAATGTTTTAATTGTAGGTATAGATTTCTTTTTCAATATTCTATGTACTAATTTTTTATGAAATGGTATGCAGTTTTTCAGTACAACAATCAATTACACAACGTGGTACGAGTGACTCACAAAAACTTCAATGCCTGCAATGCAACATCCTCTTATGCCACCTTCACTTCCGGCAACGACTCCTTCATCATCAAGAAGACCGGCCATTTCTACTTCATTTGCAGCGTCCCCGGCCACTGCCAATTAGATGGACAAAAGGTAGACATAAGGGTCACCAGAGCACCTCCTCCAACTCCAGCTCCAGCTCCTTCAGGCCCATTACCATTGCCATCGCCATCACCGTCTCTATTGCCATCGTCACCATCTCTACTGCCATCTCCACCACCATCACCACAGTCATTGCCATCTCCACCATCATCACCATCTCTATTGCCATCTCCATCACTGTTACCACAGCCATTGCCATCTCCACCACCATCACCATCACCATCTCCATCACGAACACCACTGTCACCACAGCCATTGCCATCTCCACCATCGTCGCCATCTACATTGCCATCTCCACCACCATCACCCTCACAATCACCGTCGCCTTCGCCTGCAGGAGGAAACGTTCCTGGTTCTAAGAACAGTGCAATTGCTATTCACTTAACCATGGGACTGCTCGCTAGCAAGTTTTGGTTGGCCTTGGTTGTAACATTTTGTGTTTCTGACATTACTTTTTAGGAAATATTACTTTCACTATAGTGTTTGCCATTTCGATATTGAGCAATGTTATTGGAATCTAATTTATTGACCTAATTTGTTGACCTAATTCACTATGACCTTTAAATTGACCGTGAGTTCCATCAAACATTGAAATTTGGTAGTAATCCAATAATTCTAATAAAATCACGTCATTAAATAAGTAAATTATGTCAGATTTTTAGATTAAAATAGCATTTTTCCTTCGATATTTAGTCTAATTTCTACTTGAATTTTGACTAGGTATTTTAATTATCGTAGAGGGTACGTAAATCGTTTTTGAACATTATGAAACTTAATTTACTATAAGTTCATTAAGCTTATTGTTCGCCCCCTGGTTTTTTCGATGGTGCATTGAATTTATTTGTTTTTCACTAGTGCCTGGATCTTCTATGAGATGTGATATTAACAAGAAGGCTAATTTATATTTGATTTAAACAACAAAAGAATTGGGTTGTTTCACTACAAAATTCTAGGAAGTCCAAGCATTTGAGTTTGATTCTCATAAGTTAGGATTAATCTTAGATTTATGATCTTGATCCTTGCATAACTTTTTTAATTCATAATACCTTCGTCTAGCTATATCTTTCAATATAATATAGAAAAACTATCATGAAATCTCATATATAAGCATTAAAGATACAATAAGAATTTTCGTCTAGCTTCTGATCAAATTACTGATGAACTTAACAATATGAAAACTCCGATTGACGAGAACAATAAAAATAGTTATAAAAATTATAAAGAAAGTCATCTAAACTTGTCCTAATTCTATATGCAAACTGAACGAGAGACGACTTGAATGATTCTGCTGCCAAACTAACTATCTTGGAAATGGGAAAAGACTCCCAAAAATTGGCTTTGACGGCACCTCAACGAGAAACCTTATCTTCGTAAATATTGAAACGGATCCGTCAATAAATAACCTAAGGATGAAAAAGGGCTCGCCGAAGACTAAGTCCAAGTACCCATAAACGTCATCTCCCTCTTCATGATCTCTTTAAACCAAAATTAAAGTGAGACTTTAAACTTGTAACTAAAGAACTAAATAAGTGCATGGGGGTAAGAAAAGAAGGACTAGCATGAGAGAGAAGAGCATGTCAACCTAGCCAAGGAGATTGCCTGACAACCAAAGCAGGGTGCTAGACATTATATACAGCTTAATTAAGACCCCCTCCATAGGAAAGCAGGCAAATCATCCTTGGCTAGTAAACAACACTCTTCTCTTCATGTAAGAGCTCTCTTCCTCAAATTCATGCTTCAATTCGATGCAAAATACTTAGGCTTCGGAGTCTCAATTTATTGCTGATAAAAAATACTAATCGGATCATATCTTTTTATCTCCCATCCGCCTATTTCTTCCCTCAATCTCTATAACATATCTTTCCATCAAGGAGTATATTCTATTTAGTTAAAAGCATAATGATATCTGCTTCTTGTTCATCTTGCTAATTGATTCAAAGAATGTCAATGAAGAAAAGGTCATGAAAGAAGTCGTTGAGTATTGGCCATGTCCAACTTGCATGGAATCAGTTTTTTCTTGACCCTTAACCCTTCCAAGGGGGATTTGAATTTGGTACAAAAGTAAGTATACCACCAACGTTTACAACTTTTGTAATTAAGATACAAGTTTTTATAGTCTAATTATAACCAACAAAAAAAAAAGGTTAGGATCGAAGATTTAAACTTTACAACAATTTGGGGGACATATTACCATTTATGGTGATCAAGTTATATCTTTTTGAAGGATCCAATTTTAACTCTTTAGGGTGTTTAACATCGATTTCAAAATTTTAGGATTCGTCATGATAACCCAAAAATTATAAATGATCCAAAAAATATGCACAAAAAATACTCGAATAAAACGATATGATATTAAAATTATTTTTTTCGATACAACACATATCTCCTTAATTTCCAAAGATAGGCAACGTTACTAAAAGCTGGTATAAGGCAAGCTTTGTATCGTAACATTAAATTTGGTATTGATGTTTTGCATGCTCACATCAAGTTTCCATCTTTATTGGTTATATACCCATGGAATTGCTATGAAAACGTCAAATGATCGATTTTTTTTTCAACGGTCAAAAGTGTTTGGGTCAGTTTATATGCACTGTGAATAATTTTCTTCCCGATCCGATCAAAGACAGGTCATTTACGTTGGAACTAGGGTATTTATAAACGATAAATCTCGTATGACCTAACTCTAATAGGTTGCCAAAATTCGACTTCAAGACGTCTGAGTTTACAGTTTGTCTTTATTTCTATTTGAGCTATTTCTTGGAGTTAAAGGATCGATTTAGTAATAATGTCACTTAAACCTAAATTATTTACACAACTTATTGATATGATTTATTATGCAATTAGATTGAGAGCAAATCTTATTTGATATTGGCTATTACCGTCAATCACCCGACAACAATAGATTAAGTAAACAAATGAAACACTAAAAACAAAATTACTTTGCTCTAAAGAAGTTTTACCCATGATATAT